ACAAAGACTTAATAAAGGTACTATATCAAATGCAAGGATTATTATTGTTATTATCCTCCTGATATGAAAGGTATTATACTAAATGTAAGGTTTATTAATTAAGATCATCCAAACCTCTGCAGCTCATGTACTCTCACGCACCAGGCTCCGTGACCCCATCACTCCCACCCTCACCCGACTCCACTGGCTCTCCAATACCCCAGAGGATTGAGTCAAGATCCTCGTCCTCAACTTTAAGGCCATCCATGGCCTTGCCCCCTCCTACCTCTCTGACCTGCTGACTCCCTACCAACCTGCCCGCTCCCTCCATTCATCGGGCTCCGGGCTGCTCCATGTCTCCCACCCGACCCGCTCTACCATCGGTGGCCGGGCTTTCAGCCTCTCTGCCCCCACACTCTGGAACTCCATCCCACGGTCCTTTTGCATCGCTTCCTCCCTTGATCATCAAGGCCGGTCTCAAGATCCTTCTCTTCGACTGTGCCTTTGGTCTCCCTCCCACCTCTCTGCCTTCCCTCACCCCTACACCACCCCTCCCCCATGCTCGGGCCTCGACACCTGACTGTTCAGCGCTTTGGGACATCCTCCCGACGTGAAAGGCGATCTGTAAATGTAATTTTGTTGTTGTTGTTAATTATTATTATAATTCTTATAACATTCATCTTTCTAAAATAACTAATAAAGTATGCAGGGCTACTATCCTTCATGTTCTTATGGTTGAAACGTATTTGTTTCTTCTAGCTTTGGATCTCATGACACCATGACATGTATGACACCATTATACGTGTTGTGGTGTCTTGAGTGGTGTAATATAGATCTAGAGTGACTTTAAATTGCCTTTAATCTGCAATGTTCCTACCGAGGAACAATGAATGAGATAGTATCCTGCAGGAAAAAGGGATCATTCATTGTAATTTGCTTGTTTTAAAGATCTGATTCTGATATGCACAGATTGCCCAAATGTTTGTGAATTTTCTTGCACCAGTAAAACTGACCTAGTTTTTTGTTTACTTTGATTGGGTTTACGTGAGATCTAAACATATTAATACATACTATTTATATTGTTATATTTACATATATATTTTGGTGGTGGTGTATTAAACTGCTCTGTTCTTGTAATTTGACAACATTTACTACATTTTAAGGATTTCCGGGAAAGGGTGTTTGGTGGGGGGGGGGGGTGGGAGGGGAGTGGGAGGAGAGCGAAATGCACCTCTAATACCTTTTTATGTTGAGGAAAAGAATTGAAAACGACGATGTGGCAGGAGGTCATTAAAGTCTCAAAATCTGACAACATCTCATTGCACTAGAAGGAGACATGTGTAATACAACTCTCAGATTTAGAAACATAATGTGGGTATTTTTATAATCCATCACACTGAGTAACCATAGGAACAATGTTTCCATTCATTTGTCCAAAGGACATTATTTGTGCTTTCACTTACAAAGGACACGGCATAATTCCAATGCCATCTATCTGGAAATGCATATAAGCAACCTAACTAATTAAGTTCAGGAATCCTAACCCTCTTCAACATTACAGTAACGCCCATTCATTACGAAATGTCTTGAGGCTAAGGCGGTGTTAGAATCTGGTGATCAGTTCAATATTATTAAATAAGCAGAAAGTCCCACTGCATCCATTGTAACATTAATAATAATCATCTTTGCATTTGATATAGCGCTTTTCACGTCTTCTAAACGTCTCAAAGCGCTTCACAGAATATACTGTAAAGTGAATTGACCGTATATTTGTGGGCGAAATGCATTGTAGTGCATAAGCTTAGCACTTGGTGATGCATATCACGATGTTGGAGGATGACACAGGAGCATAAGAAAGTCATTTATCCCATCAAGCTTCTTCCACCAGTTTATTAGATCATGGCAAACCTTTTAATCTAATTTCTCCTCCTTTTTTCCATACCCTTGTAATGCCTAAATATTAGAGGGAAATATACCATTCATAATTAACCCAATTATAAACAATAATTGAAAATTAGTTATTTAAAATAGCTTTGACCAGCACCATTTTGTGTTCTCTATCTCACTATTATTCCCCCTTTTCTTTCTTCTTCAGCAGATTAGAGACTACTTTTCTAATTTAAAAAAGCATAAACACAAACAACTCCAAACAGAAGAGAATCCAAGAAAATATGAGAAAACTAAGTAAACTTGGAACCCCCAAGCCCATAACTTTAACCTTGAACACAAACCCTAATATAAGCCTTCAACCAAGGACTAACTATTGCCATATCACACCACATCAAAGTGTATCACACTATGCTATATCATGTCATGACATGTCACACTACATCATGTTGTGTTACACCATACCAAGCTACCTCATTCCATGCCATGTCAAATCACACTAAATCATGTCATGCCAAACAATATCACACTATACAACTATCACACCATATCATTGACGCTATACTATACTGCCTCATGCCACACCACACCATGACTACCCATGTCACGTTACGTTATGCCATGTCATTACTATGTTGCATCACACTATGCCATGTCATTACTATGTTGCATCACACTACGCCACGAGATCAGTGTAACACAACACAGTCCATGGATGGGCAGCCCCATTTTATCAACTAACTTACCCTGGGAGATCCGCTACCACTCAAAATAATATTAAACTTAATTTAAAAAAGCACTTACCTGAAAAAGCACAAATCTTCCTCATAAATCCTTCACATCCACTGGTTAAACTCTCCCATTAGACCCCAGAAAATTTCAAAGACGTTTTTATGTATCACATCATGTAACACGAGCTGTTATTTTTTTACTGTCTCTATATAATAGTGGACAACGTAATTCTGCCCACAAAATACACAATCAATACACTTTACAGTATATTCTGTGAAGCGCTTTGAGATGTAGCAATGGTGTTAAGGCTCTATACCAATTGCAAGGATTATTATTAATTGGTTTTCTTTTGACAGGTAACAATCAAGACAAAATGTAACTAAAAAGGACAGATCCCTCCTAACATCAACCAAAGATCTGAGAGTTGGCCAGGACTGTGCTTATGTAAGCTAGACTGTTCTTTGAAATATGAGGTATGTATTCTCTTTTTTCTTCCTCATTTTGCATCCTTCACACACTGCTGGAGTCTACCAAGGTAGTGAAACCTTGGAAGGTATGTCCTGATGGGGCAGCAAAGATTCCAGCTGCTGAAATACGTTAACTTGGTACTTCTTCCAGGTTCAGCTGGTAGTGTTTTGCGAAGCTATGAGGATTACTCTATATAGTTGCTTTACAAATGACCTCCAGGAAGACCTGATGCAAAGGAGCTCAGGATGTAGCAGCAGATCCAGCCACATAGAGGCAAATGTGGCAGCTAATTTGCACTTAGCAATGACCCACAGTCAGCCATGAATAATAATAATAATAATAAACCTTGCGTTTGATATAGCATCTTTCACATCTCAAAGAGCCTCACAAGATTTACTGTAAAGTGTAGTGACTGTTTATTGCGTTGCTCCCTCCCTTACCTCCTTCAAGGCAAGTCTTAAGACCCTCCTCTTTGATGGCACCTTCGGTCACTCTCCCACCCCTACCGTCCCTGCCCTCCACCCCTTCTGATCCCAACCCCCTGCCGGGTCCAAATCATTGACTGTTCAGTGTCTTGCCACGTTCTCCCGAAGTGAAAGGCATTATACAAATGCAAGTTGTTGTTTATTTTGCAGCAGCCAAGTTTCGCAAAGCAATGTCCCAGAAACAGCCATGAAGTCAATGGGCAATTTTATCTGGGGATTGTTGGTCAGGATATCAGGGAAAATAACCCTTTCTTTTCAAATAGTGCCATAGGATCTTTCATGTCCATCTGAACGGGTTTAAAAAAAACATTTAAATAAGAACTAACAGGTGGACACAGTGTGGCTCACTACGATACAGGTGGTGGAACATGGCACAAACTTGTCATAAGACATGATGCGTCAAAGCTTCTTAAAGGAGCAGGGCCCCTGTTTTCAAATTTATCTTGTGTTCCGGGGTCTAACAGTAACAGTAACGTTCACCCTGCGGTACATGGAGGGTGTGAAACCGGGAATCATTAACATCTCATATTTTGGAGTCCAGTCGCTCGGTGGTTAAAGCACTTGATTCCCGGGCAGAGCAAAACCTTAGGCAAGTTTCCTTACTCCACATGCCTGTGTTTACCTAGCAATAAGTAGGAAGCCGGTTGTTAGTTGAACGGCGGATTGCTTTCCGAGGGTAATAATTCCTCAAAAAAATCCAGTCATTCAATCCACGACTGTTTGTGGGACACTGTTGTGTGCAGTTGGCTGCCAAGTTTCACCCACAAAATACAGTCAATCCACTTTACAGTATATTCTGTGAATTGCTTTGCGCCAACTCAACGACATGATGAGGCGCTATATCAAATCAAAGACTAATATTATTATTTCTGCCTTAAGACAGTTAACAACATCCCACTGAAATCATCCAGTGCTACACTGGATGATTTCCAGTTTGTGGGACATTGCTGTGCGCAATTGGCTGCCGCGTTCGCCCACAAATGTACAGTCAATTCACTTTACGGTGTGTTCTGTGAAGCGCTTTGGGACGTCCTCCCGACGTGAAAAGCGCTATATCAAATGCAAGGATTATTATTATTATTATTATTATTATTATTACACACGCACAAAATAAAACTGTTCAGATGAGCTGTTTTTTTTCCATCAAAAAAAGCAGTTTATCTAAATGTCTTTTTAACGCAGCTGTTTATTGTTGAAGCTGCATGAACTTTGAACACGCTGGCTAACGTTTCCTCTCTCTTTCGCTCCATCTACACCCCTGATTCTGATTCGACTGCTCTGTAATGGGAGTTCCTCCTCTTTCCTGGTTAAATTTTGCAGGGGATTGGTGAAAAGTACTGAATCGCAAATGGTGCCTCCCAACTGCAGTTTTTTTGTGTGTGTAGGGGGTGTGTATGTGCCTGGCTTTGTATACTGTACTTATAACCAGACAGAGCTTCCTTGTTTCCTGTTTCAAATTGAGCAGTCTCTCTGTCTCTCTCTTCCTCTCTCTCTCTCTCTCTCTCCTTCACCTCCTTTACAGGATTGAAGACCATCATCTTCACCATGACAGATAACACTACTTTTGACACCAATGTTATCACTCTGAACCGCTTTATGCTGGAGGAGACCAGGAAACACAAAGGCACTGGCGAGTTCAATCAGCTCATCAGCAACCTCTGCACAGCCATCAAAGCCATCTCCTCTGCAGTCAGGAAAGCTGGCATCGCCCACCTGTAGGTATTCTCTGTGTTTTACAAGTGTAATCCTTACCTGACACCATAAATAACTTCTCTTCACTATGGGACGGGGGCGGGGAATACTAATAATATATAATAATCCTTGCATTTCATACAACGCCTTATCACTTCGTTGCGACATCTCAAAGCGCTTCACAGAATATATTGCAAAGTGGGCGAAGCCTTTGGGTCAGGTTATTGCTTATTCCTCTCCTTGTATTCTCTGGCTTTGGTACGTACACCTTTCAGATAGTACTTTGTTAGCAACCCCTGCATAAATTAACCTCATTTTTGTTTGGCTTTCTTTTTTAAAAGACAAAACTTTTGTGGAAATTGAAAGAATGCATTTTAGTGGCAGACTAGACTGCATAGTATTGAGCCCAACCTATTCCACTCCATTACACATTGATATTGGAAGGCAATAAAATTACAAGAAGCCCTAAGAATCTCTTTGACCCCGTCAGTCAGTTTAATCCACAGTACATGTGGATGTTCTCAATCCATATATTGTATGTGATCTGCTAGTTTTAATCCACATATTTCCTGAATCTGGGAAGGTACTGCTCTTTTATTTAAACAGTTTTACATTCACTTTTTATGCAGCGTTGTTCTCCCACTTCTCTCTGACTTATTTTGTGTTCTGAGCATTTTAATGCGAAGTGAGTAGACAGTCATGTGTGGCCTGTTTGTTGTGGAATTGAGTTGTGGTTTCAGTTTGGAGGTGTGGTCTTCAGCCTATCCAATTATCGAGTACAGTACTGATTGCATATTAGGAAGTGCTGCCTCATGCTTACATTACATTTCTTTACACTGCTTTCTTGTTTAAATTGGAGATCCTTTAACTGGCCTCTTCAGCTATCAGAAACCAGGACTTGCATGTCACTAATTCAGTATCACCACACATTGGTTCAATAATAATCCTTGCATTTTGATGTAGCACCTTTCACGTCCAAAGTATGTCTCAAAATGCTTCATAGGATTTAGTGTAGAGTGTCTGTGTATTTTGTAGGTGAAATGGTTTAAAGATGCCTGGAGGTTTGTCAACATTTTGTCCTACAATTTTATTTCATGAATTCATGCCAATCGTTATCTACGTTAGGTTTACAAATGTAACCTATTTTGATATATGCCATGCAAAATTGTGCTTTCAGTTTAGCTGTAGAGATGAAATCAATAGAAATGTTTAAAAGGAGACAGACACTTGAGTAGAAGCTTTAAAGGAATATGGTGAAAGAGTGGGTCGTTGGGAGAAAAAGATATACAAAGATCTAATAAATTGGTGGAACAGGTTCTAGTGGCTGAATAGTTGATGTTTTCTTATGTTCTTAACTGCTTAGGAATTGTACAACATATTTGATGTAGCAATACCCTGCTGGTAGGTAAAAGATAAATTGCTGAGGGTGACCTCCAATCCTGAAGGTATTTGACTCTCCTCCTACTAAGGTACAGTTCCATCAATGCCAGTTGCCTTCCCATATCTCATCCAAATAACTATTACTTATGTGTGAGCTTTGGCAGGGAATGTAGACAGGCTATTTGATTGCAAGAACATCATGACCGAGCCCAATCTTGCACTCTCCTGACATCCACAACTATACACTATCCAGCAGAGATCTCAAAAAATAATAATTGCATTTGATGTTTCGCCTATATCATCAAGAACGTCTCAAAGCACTTCACAACATTTCTGATAAAAAAANGGCAATGACTATATTTGTGGAGAAACAAGGCAGCCAATTTACACGTAAATTGACCAATTTTATCTGAATTGGTGGCCAAGACACCAGGAGAAGCTTCCTTTCTCTTTTCGAATCGTTGCACGGAACCTTTAACATACAAGCAGAACCAGACCTCAGTTTAATGTTTCATTCCAAAGGACGACGAGTTCACCAATGCCTGTTTCTCCAAACACTCGACTGGAGTGTCAGCCTCCTAGATGATAAGCTCAAAGTCCTGATACGAACCCTCAATCTTCAGGCTCAGAGACTAGAATGCAACTGAGCCGGGCTGATAAAATTGGGTTGTGCAAAAGGATTATACTGTAACTATTTCTCCATACAGATGTATAAAACTTTATCAAGCAAGAAAAAGAGAGAAAGATCTCTGTCCCCCTTTCTCTTCTTCCACCCCGTCTCCATCACATGGCACATGATTAGAAAAGGTAGTGGAGATATAGTACTCTATAGTACTCCACTTGTATCCAGGCGTTTTGTACTGTGCTCTGTTAGGCAACAGATCAGAAGTTCTCACTGGACCATACAGCAAACTTGCTGGTGCAGTTTGGTCTATGCTTACCTGCATTCTTTGAAAGCAGGAAGCAAGTGATCGGGTCCACGCTCACACAACATTATTATTTAACCAATGAATTTATACTATTGATGTGATCTGAAAGATGTGGCTACAAAATCATCTTTCGGTCTGCAGCATTGTACACTGCGGATTTGCTCAAGAGTTCAGTCTACCCTACCCAGCAGCGGAACTTTGAACTGTTTCACTGAAAATGGAAAATATTTACAAAACATTCAATTATTTACTGACTTCAAGGTCTTAATGGTTTAACGCATTGTTAACTAGGCATTGTGAAACTTTTAACAAATGTTTTTGTTAAAATTCTGTACTTATAACCAGACAGATATAACCATGTTTTTATTAAAATATTAAGAAATTCCATTATTTGAAAAGGCAATTCTGTCAATTATTTGGCATTAATATTTGCAGAAATTGTTTTTGTGCACTGACTAAAATGTGGAGCAGAAGGCTACATGTTTAGAGTGGAGGTACTTCCTCTGTCTAGCCACTAAATGGTTTATATGCAGTCAATGCAGCATTGCTGTTTACCTTGCAGTTAGTAGGAACCCGGTTGTTAGTCGATTGGCAGATCGCTTTTCCAGTCACACTTGGGATATAGTAATGCTGTTGCTTGCAACCTTCAGACTCAACAACAGAAAAAAAATTACATTTATATAGCGCCTTTCATGTCGGGGGGACGTTCCAAGGTTTCGAACATCAGTGTTTCGAACCTGAGCTGGAATCGGGGAGAGTGGAGAGCAAGTGCGGAAGGAGGGTGACCGAAGGCACAGACGAAGAGGAGAGTCTTGAGACGGGTCTTGAAGGAGGCAAGGGAGGGGGCAAGGCAGAGGGACTGCGGGATGGAGTTACAGAGGGTGGGGGCAGAGTGGCAGAAGGCCCACCCATCAATGGTGGGTCGGGCAAGGGGGTGGACGTGAAGCAGGCCGGAGTGGAGGTGAGAGTGCTAACGACTGAGCCAGGGTGACACCAAAGTGAATAAAGAATTAACAAATAAGGAATTTGTTGCATGTTTTCTTCTCTATTCCATCCTTTCCTGCGGAGAATCCATCCAATGCTTCCCTCTGTGACTTGACTAAATTTGGAAATTTGATGTGGTGTGGATGTAGGTTTAAGCTCACCCTTTTCTGCTGCTCCACAGTCATGGATGCTGCAAATTGCTGCATGACTTATTTGATCCAAATTCAAGGCTGTGTTAAATTGTGAGCAGCACCATTCGAGATACAAGAAAGTGACAAATAAGGGAAATAATTTGCTTATGCTAGCAATCTTTGTTTCTGCATTCATAATGGGATTTTCTATTACAATCACAAATCACATCATTTGCTAGCTATCAACTAATATGATAAACCCTTCTCAAATGCAGGTAAATACAAATGACCATCTTTATAAATACGACATACTCAGATATATTCACATAACTTTTACATTCATAAGTGTAGAATCCAATTACTTCTTTTAAATTTCTAAAATTTGATCAGTAACATCAGAGTATAGATCATACAGCTGAAGCTTTGGACTGTGACTATTTTGTAATACTGTACTGTAATGAAGAGTATCCTCTGGTGCTGCACATATCTGAAGCTCCCAAGGTTCCTATAGCTTAATGTACTCCCCTTTCTGCCTTATCGCCATGCATACAGCTCCTGTCATGGTCCTCTCTGCAACTCTCACACCAAATTTTCTCCACAAAAGGCATACATAAAAATAATAATCTTTGCATTTGAAAACAGCTTAAAATGTTGCAACGTTTCAAGAAGATTTCAAGATTTTTTTGTCAAGTGTAGTGGAAGTAACTGAAATAACTGACGGACACCAGGTAAACCCAGAAGGTAATTACCGATACAAACAAGTTACAAAAAAGGGTGATTGACGCCAGGACACTGAACTCATTTTTTTTTTAAAAGTTTAATATTGTGCTGGAGGATGGTAGGATGGGTATTCTAGAAACATGAGACAAGATGGGCTGAAGCACTGTCTTCATCTAAACCAACCTTGTAATCTCATGAACTCCTGAGATTACGTTCCGCCCACAAAAGTCAATCCTTTTTACAGTATATCCTGTGAAGCTCTTTGAGACATCTCGAGGAAGTAATAAGTTGCTATATCAAATGCAAAGATTAATATTTTACAATTATTCACTAAAACGATTTTAAAAAGTTGTACAAGGAGAACATATGGGTTTCATCTGGAGAGCATCTTTTACACCATGTGCACACCTCATTTCTAATGCGATTACAGTTTTGATATAAAGTTCTCCAGCAATACAGCTGATAGCTGTGTGTCTAAAAGTACTGGGAATATACTGTTTAATAAAATCATAATGTTGAGACAGTATCTTGTCTACAAGCAATTTATGTGGAGTCCTATAGCTCAGTGGTTAGAGCACTCGCCTCGCAAGCAAGGGGGTCTGGGATCGATTCCCGGCAGGGCGAAATATTGGGCATGTTTCCTTACTCCATATGCCTCTGTTTAACTAGCAGTAAGTAGGAATCCGGTTGTTAGCTTATTGGCGGATCACTTACTGTAGTTAATAATCCCTTCAAAAAATAGAATTAATAAAATTTGATCACTGTTTGTGGGACACTGCTGTGTGCAATTGACTGCCACTTTTCACCCACAAAATACGAAGCTAGAGAATACTAGAAGAGGGTTTAAGCAATAACTTGATCCAAAGGCCCACTTTACAATATATTCTGTGAAACGTTTTGAGACATTTCAATGACGTGCGAAGGCGCTATACCAAATGCAAGGTTATTGTTATATTATATATTTTATTATGATAATTTGTATGTATAGAACCTGAACACCAATGCTCACCTGTAAATACTTTTTCCAGTTATGGGATTGCTGGAACCGTTAACGTGACTGGAGATCAAGTAAAGAAGTTGGATGTACTTTCCAATGACTTGGTTGTCAACATGTTAAAATCCTCCTTCAGTACATGTATTCTGGTCTCTGAAGAAGAAAAGGAAGCCATCATTGTAGATCCAGATCAACAGGTCAGTTAAACTAGGATCCTTATGTAGTGTAAGGATGACTTATTGATTTAGAAGTTAAAACATAAAAGACTGGGGAATGGATATTATTGGATGTGTGTACTATACTGCTTTACTCTTGTGTATTTAAAGAATATATTTATATTTACAAAAACATTTGCTTTACTAATTACACCATCTACTATAGTCTGTAATTTCAGTTTTGGATGATAATATTATAATAATAGTAATCCTTGAATTTGTTTTATCACATCATTGAGACGTCTCAAAGCATTTCACAGGATTTTGATATTTGCATATAGTGATTGTATATTGGTAGACAATAATGGCAGCCAATTTGTGCACAGCAATGTTTCTCAAATAGCCAATTTTAATTGATGATTGTTGACCAGGACCAGAAACTCCTCCTTTTGAATAAAGTCATATGAGCTGTAACACCCACTTGAACAGGCAGAAGGGATCTCGTTTTTTCTCAAAAGATCTCCTTTGTTTTATTTGTTATTCATGTTAGACCCATGGATCTGCAATTATTTAGATCAGTATATTGTCTTTTTTAAATGCAATTGCTGCATTTAGCCATTCACAAGATCACAAGATAGGTTTTGGTTGAAGAAGGTCCTTTGTTCTTATCTCAACTTTCCTAATGTTCTCCCATCACCATCAAGCTTTTTTTTAAAAAAACTAAGTCCAGTGTCATGACTGCAACCATAATTTGTGCCAGTGATTAAATACCTTCTATGATGATTGCTAGTGCCTCACAAAATTCCTCCCTGGTCTCCTTCTTAAACCAAAAAGGCCCAATATCTCTTAATGTTAAGTCCTTAACAAAGGCATCAGGTACCTTTGCCATAATAATATCAAGTTTGTCCTAGGTAATAATAATAATAATAATAATAATAATCATACTTGCATTTGATATAGTGCCTTTGTCATTGAGATGTCTCAAAGTGCTTCACAGGATATACTGCAAAATGGATTGACTGCATATTTTGTGGGCAAAACAGAGCAGCCAGTTGCGCACAACAATATCCCACAAGCAACCAGGAAGTGAGTGACCAATTATATAATGCTGCGGGATCTTTAACATCTAAATAAACAAGCAGAGGGGACCTCAGTTAAATATCTCATCCAAAGGACAGCATCTCTGACAATGTAGCACATCCCTAGCACTGCATTTGAGTGCCAGCTTGGATTTTGTGATTCCAAGTGTTGATTGTGGGGTTTGAACCCAAAACCTACTGGCTCAAAGCTGAGAGAACTCGCCAGGCTTACACACATAAGATAATGCGTGTACTACAGAAATTAAATTGTAAGTTAGCAATATCCTCTCTAGAAACTTTTAATTTAGCATTTCAGCTATTTAGTTTTTAACCTTCACTGTTAATTTTATCTGTGATGCTTTAAACAAGTAACCACTTCTATGGCCGTTCTTCACAATTATGATACTGAAACGTTTGAAATCTGCCCTTGGTTATATTGACAATGTTGTTCTTTTTTCCAGGGAAGGTACATTGTCTGCTTTGATCCACTAGATGGGTCTTCAAACATTGATTGTCTTATTTCCATAGGAACAATATTCGCCATCTATCAAAAGGTAAGATTATCAACAATTAAAGGAATTATTTAATTTAAACATCTTAGGTTTCCATCAAGACAGACAGTTAGTTAGCATTAAATGTGTTGTTCTCCAGATTTGAATTATCTTCCCTTTGGGGAATTGATTGGGAGCTATCAGACGTTTCTTCACTGTTGATCACAATTTATTTCTCTAGTTGAAACTTTTGGGATTGTCGCCAATCTTGAATAAGTGAATTCACCTCATAATCCTCTACGTTTGTTTCAATGAGAAACTGCGCTAAGATTCATCAGTGAAAAGCATGTGAAACAAAATAATCCCAGAAGATTGATTCATGCCATGAATAAACTAGAATGATAAATAAAGATCATATTTTTAAAAAAGTACCAATATAGAATTTCAAAGAAAATCTAATATCTGACAATGCTTGAATGGTGAAAAACTTACAAGTGGCAATTGTGAGAAATGAGTACTACAATACAGGATAACTGCAAAGCAACTGAGGGATGAGACTATCAAACAGCAACGTTGACCATTTGGTAATTTCTCCCCTTGGATGTGTTGAGAATATCATAATAATAATAATAATAATAATCCTTGCATTTGATATAGCGCTGTTCACGTCTTCTCGACGTCTCAAAACGCTTCACAGATTGGACTGTAAAGTGAATTGACCGTATATTTGTGGGCAAAACGCGACAGCCAATTGCGCACAGCAGTGCCCACAAACAGTCGTGGATTGAAAATGACTAATTTATTATTTGTTATGTTATCAAGCACTCCTCCGAGCCTGCCATGCGTGTTTAACGTTTAGTTAGTTGCAAGACAACATTTCTACTAGAGCAATTTACATTCCACACATAGTTTACATGTATGAAAATCCTGTCTGAATTGTATCGACAAGTGTTGCAACATGTGTAGTCATAGGCATAGCTACATCGATGTGGAACTACAGTAGAAACACTACTTAAATAGATGAGATATAAAGTGTTACGAGTCATTAGGACAGCTTTCATTAGGTTGCATAGCATGTATTGTTAGTTTCTGGTTCATGTATCACCTGCTGGACTAGCTAGACTACTCTTGCTCTTTCCAAACAGCAAATCGGTCATTCAGACTCTGCCACTCATTTCAATGTGATCCTTTTTGTCAAACATCTGGTGTAATGCTCTTTTCAAACCCTCACTGGATCCTAGTTGCTTTATTTAGTGATTCTAGTCTGTTGCTTGTTACCCCACTGATCTATCATGAAGGACATTTACATTTTTAGAGTATTCAACTATCGTAATATGATATTCTTTCAATATCTATCCTAAAGAATGCCCCTGACTTTCTGTTGTATTTTCCTGTGGGTCTCGTGATGAGGAAATTCAGCTTTTCAATCCTGTTTCAGAATTACATATACTGTTACAGCATGGAATGGCCATTGGCTCAACTTGTCCCAGTGTCTGTATTCCACAGGAGCCTTCACCCTTCATAAACCCCTCTCCTGTACCCTCTTTTCCCTTCTTCCTCATGCAGGCATCAAGTATTTGAGGTTGTGACTGTAAAACTTAAATCACAAAAGAACAACATAGCTGTCTTTGTCATTAATGATCCTGTGTAAAATTGGTTATTAGAAAAATCCATCTTAAATGGATATGAACTAAGTTTTGTGCAAATGTTAACTATCTGTTTGATCTTCTTTTCAATGAATAAGAGCTCAGTAACTGATTTTGCCATATACTCTGTATTAAGACTTCAACTGACGAGCCAAGTGAAAAGGATGCCTTGCAGTCAGGCCGTAACATTGTAGCGGCTGGTTATGCCTTGTACGGCAGTGCCACAATGATTGTATTGTCGTCAGGAAGTGGGGTGAACGGCTTCATGCTGGATCCAGTAAGTTCTTACAAATGTTTGTTTACTTGTCTGCTCTAAAGCCAGGGTGCTAAATGTATTTAATATATGACCATTGACCTTTAGTATACATTACGGCTTTCAAATCTAATTGAATGTAAACTGGATGTGTGCACAATTCCAGACTAATTTCTCTTTCATCCTTAGATGTTAGGCTGGCTCAGTTGGTAGCCTGACACTTCAATATAGTGCTTGTTGGAGTTGCCATTCTTCAGATGAGACATTGAACCGAGGGCCTGTCTGCCTGTTCAGTGGACGAAAAAGATCCCATGGCCCAATTTGAAAACAGAAGGGAGTTTTTCCTAGTGTCCTGACAAACCATCCCCTAGTTAAAATTGGTCATTCGCTTCATGGCTGTTTGTGGGACTTTGCTGTGTATAAATTGCCTGCTGTATTCACCTAGAAAATATAGCAAAATAAAACACTAATCTTAATAATGTGAAGTGCTTTGAGATGTCCTCCCAATGTGAAATCAAATGCAAGGATTATTATTAGGAGATCATTCGGTCCTTTGAAAAGAGCTGCCCAAATCAATCCCACTCCCCCGTGCTCTCCGCACAGCCCTGCAAACTTGTTAAGGCATTATATCAAATGCAAATGATTATTATTATTATAAAAAGGAAAAGGAGGGCTTTTCCACCAGTTTATTAGATCTCAGCTGATCTTTTAAACCCAATGCCTCACCCTTTTGGCATACCCCAAAAAACCTCCTGTAAGTATGTAATTTGTCGGTAATGGCCACTTTCATTCAAGGTTTTAGTTTACAAGAACCAGCAGCAACAAAAGTGTTGCACTTGCAATCTTCAAAGTCAGAATTATAATAGACATATGGTCCAGTAGAGTTCTTCTGATCTATACACTAGTATCACTAGTATTAATCTTATCAGATCACTACCAGGGGAGGATCAGATTTGGCTGGGTCTGAATGCCTTGACCAATGGGTATCTCTCACATGGAAAATCTTCTGTTTGTGGCCTCATCTACCTTTTCATTCCTTTCCTCTTCAGTGTCCAACCCGTACCTATCCTCCCTAGGAGGGGAGGAAGAGCACTTTTAGATACCAGTGTATCCAAAAGCTGCTGTTAGCACACACAGTAAATGAGGGGAGCAAATTAGAGGGAGAAAAAGTGAAGAAATTAAATAGTGTGCAGTTTCTCCAATGTTGATGCATTCTTGCTAAATCTGTGTGTTTTTAGGCCATTGGGGAATTCATCTTGGTGAACAAAGACATAAAGATTAAGCAGAAGGGAAACATCTACAGTATTAATGAAGGTTATGCAAAGTACTTTGATCCTGCAATCACAGAGTACCTACACAAGAAGAAATTCCCCAAGGTAAGTAAAGGACATAGGAGACTTTCTTGATATTTATTATTAGGGCCATTTAGACTTTTATCACAATTCTGGTATTATTATCTGGACCGTGAATATTACAAAAACCTACAAACATCATTTGTTTTGTGGAATTTCTTAAAGTATCCCTTAACTTATTGAAGGAATAAAAGCAAGCGGCTTCTCTCTCTAGGTAAGTGCTTTCTCCTCTAGGAGTCTTAACGGTGCCATTTTGTGTGATCCTGAAGCAAACTCTTTTATGTTTGTATATTTTAGGCTATATATTGTTTTTGAGTCCTTTTTCTATTTTGTTTTAATATTGGTTTCCCATGGTTTTTCTGCCTTGGAGTCCCCAAATCTTCCCAAAGACCAAAAGTTAACTTTCAGCAACCAGGCAGGCTAGGCACCAAGCCTCCAAGCTAATCACTAAAGAGGAATGAATGACTTTGGCAGAGTCCTACCCTGTCTGCCCACTCTCCTGGTCACTGAATCATACTGAGGGTGATCTTGAAGAAAGTAGAGTAAAATAAATGCCAACTTTAACTTTCCTTTCTTTATGTTGTTCCTTTCAAATGCTTACCACTGTTCTCATTTTGTGTTTCACCTCAAACAAATTTGTGGGAGACGAGGTGGTCGAAGTAAAGTTTGGATCAGAACTTTTTTTATTCAGAAACATTCAAAGAATGAGATCTACCTGTGGGGTATTCTAAAATTGTTCTTTCAATCTCAAGGGTTCATTCATAACATTTCATTTTTATATAACCATGTATTTACATCATACTTAATTCCACTCTTGCTTCTCATTGCTGAAATGTTGATTTTATAACCTGACATCAATATTCTCAGGATTAATTTTATCAGATCACTGCCAAGGGAGGGTCACATAGGCTGGATCTCAATGCCCTGACCAATGGGTATGTCTTTAGATGCCAATATATTTAGAAGCTGCTCTTAGTCACTGGGTATCAGTGCCCAGTGTCATTGGCTGCCCCAATCTACGGGATAATGCCATCCACCTGACCGCTCGCTCCCGGTCCCCGCGTGCGCACTATGGCTGCCGCTTTGACCCGAGCCCCCTCACCCCCTCCCTCCCACCCCCCTCCTCTCTCCCCCCAAACCTCCCCCCTCTGCATCTCTCCCGCTCTCTCCTCCTCTCTCTCCGTCCCTCTCGTCTTCTATCCCCACTTGACCCTCCCACAACCTCCCTCTGTTCCAGCCTGGGAATCCTCCGCCGGGCTCACCGTGGCACTCGGCGTTGGCTGTCCAGCAGCAGCCACACCGACTGCCCCATTCCCCACCACACTCGCCACCCACCCCGGACACAGACCCGGGGAGTCAACCTCTCCTCCCTCATCCCCATTCCCCCCACCCCTGCCTCACAACCTGGACCCCCCTCCCCTCCCACACACCCTTCTGTCAACCGCTCCCTCCACATCGGACTGCAAAATGTCCGCTCCCTCTGCAACAAGGCCCTGGTCATCAACGATCTCATCCTTGATGAGAACGTTGATATCATGGCCTTAACAGAAACCTGGCTCACCCCAGGCGACACCTTCCCCCTCACGGAGGCCACGCCACCCGGCTACACCTCCCACCACATCCCCCGCCCCAACCGCCGTGGCGGTGGTGTTGCCCTTATCTCAAGGACACCACTTGCCCTATCCCCCTACTCCACTGGCTCTTTCCCCTCCTTTGAGCACCTCACCCTCTCCCACCCCTCATTCCTCTCCCTTAAAATCCTCCTCCTCTACCGGCCCCCTAAAACCTCTCCCACCTTCATCTCTGACATTTCAACACTCCTCACATCTCTTTGCCTCTGCTCCGATCGCCTCATCATCCTGGGCGACTTTAACCTACACTTCACCCCCTCCTGCTCCATCTCCACAGACTTCTCTTCCCTGCTCTCCTCACTCAACCTCTCCTTACACATAAACTCCCCCACTCACAGTCACGGCCACCCACTCGATTTGGTGATCACCCGGGGCCTCAGTGTCTCGGATGTCACTATTACCGACAAGGCCATCTCTGACCACTACTTCATCTCCTTCACCACCTCCACCCCCCTCCCCACCTCCACCAGACCCACCACCATCTTCTACCGCCCTTGGAAGAAGTTACCCCCACAATCCCTAACCGATGCCTTGGAGTCCTCTGAACTCCTCTCCCTCTGGCCTTCAACCCTCACCGACCCCTCTTCTCCTCTCTCCCTCCTCCACAATACCCTCTCCTCCACACTCGATACTCTTGCCCCCATCACTTCCCGCACTGTCTCCTACTCCCGCTCCTCCCCCTGGTACACCACCCACCTCCGCTCACTGAAAAGCCAGGTGCGGGCTGCTGAACGCACCTGTGTCAAATCTGGCCTAACGGTCCACCGACAAATCTGGCTGGACCTCCTCAAAATTTACCGCTCCACTCTAGCCTCGGCCAAGTCGTCCTTCTACTCCAGGATAATCCTGGAGGCGAAGAACAACCCCAGGCTACTGTTTTCCACCACAACCCGACTCCTCCGTCCCCCCCGCCACCCCGCGCAGGTCATCTCCTCCAACCTTCACTGCGAGGAGATGCTGGATTTCCTTGAATCCAAGATCAAGGGAATCCGCTCCGCGGTCACTTCCCCTCCAACTTCCACCCACCACCCACCCCTTCCCTCCCACACTCCGACTCCTACCCATCCTCCCCTACACACCTTCGTACCCGTTTCCCCACCCTCTGTCACTGAACTCATCCTATCCCTAAAACCAACCACCTGCTCCCTTGACCCCATCCCCACTCCACTCCTTATCTCCCAGCTCCACTTTCTTGCCCCACATATCACTGACATCATCAACCTGTCCCTCTCCTCTGGCTCTGTCCCCATTCCATTAAAAACTGCCATCATCACGCCCACCCTGAAAAAACCCTCCCTTGATGCGTCGCAGCTATCAAGCTACCGGCCCATCTCCAACCTCCCCTTTCTCTCCAAGGTCTTGGAAAGAGTTGTCGCCTCCCAACTGCGCTCTTTCCTTTCCACCCATTCTCTTTTCGAACCCCTTCAGTCAGGTTTCCGTGCTGCCCATAGCACAGAAACTGCCCTGGTCAAGGTCACCAATGATATCCTGACCATCTGTGACCAGGGCTCCCTCTGTCTCCTCGTCCTCCTCGACCTATCGGCAGCATTCGATACGGTCGACCACGCTATCCTACTCCACCGCTTGTCCTCCCACCTCAACCTTCAAGGCACTGTCCTTGAATGGTTTAGGTCGTACCTTTCTCACCGTCTTCACTTTGTCTCGACGAATGGCTTCTCCTCCACCCCCCGTACTGTCTCATGTGGTGTCCCTCAGGGCTCTGTCCTCGGTCCCCTCCTCTTCACCCTCTATATGCTCCCCCTTGGTGACATCATCCGCAGACATGGAGTTAACTTCCACATGTATGCGGATGACACCCAACTCTACCTTTCCTCCTCTACTCTCAACTCCACGACCACCGATGTCCTGACAGCCTGCCTGTCCGACATCGAGTCCTGGACGAGAGACAACTTTCTTCAGCTCAACGTGCGAAAAACCGAGGCCCTCCTGATTGGCTCACGTCAGCGCCTCCGCACCTCAGGCGCTGACACCATCAGCATCCAAGGCTGCACTCTCCACCTCTCAAAGCCAGTCAGGAACCTCGGCGTTTTGTTCGACCCTGAGCTGTCCTTTCTCCCTCACATCCGCACCACAACTGGCACCGCCTTCCATCACCTCCGGAACATCGCCAGACTACGGCATTACCTCACCCCTCACGCTGCTGAAACCCTGGTTCACGCCTTTGTCACCTCAAGGCTGGACTATGGGAACTCTCTCCTCGCCGGCCTTCCCGCCACCTCCCTCCACAAGCTGCAGGTCATTCAGAACTCTGCAGCTCGTGTACTGTCCCGCACCAGGACCACATCACTCCCACCCTCGCTCGCCTCCACTGGCTCCCCATCCCCCAGAGGATTGATTTCAAGATCCTCATCCTCACCTACAAGGCCATTCACGGCCTTGCTCCCTCCTACCTCTCCAACCTACTATCCCCCTACCTACCTGCCCGTACCCTCCGTTCCTCTGGCTCCGGTCTGCTCCACGTCCCCCGCCCCAACCGCCCTACCATCGGTGGTCGGGCCTTCAGCCTCTCAGCCCCAGGCTCTGGAACTCCATCCCCCAGTGCCTTCGCCGCTTCCTCCCTTTCCTCCTTCAAGGCCGGTCTCAAAACCTTTCTCTTTGACCGTGCCTTCAGCTCCCCTCTCGACTCTCTTCCCCTCCTCGCTCCCTCCCTTCCCTCCCCCCCTTCCCCCCTGACCATTTCCCCCCTGCTCGGGTCATGACCCAACTGTGCAGCGCCTTGGGACGTCCTCCTGACGTGAAAGGCGCTTTATAAATGAAATCTTGTTGTTGTTGTTGTTGTATCACAAGGGAGAAAATTGCAACTCACAAATGGTACATGCAAATGAAGTTCTAAATTTCCCCTGCCACTATTCACACATTGGAGTAACATTAATCCATGGGTTTTGCCTACACAGAGTGAACAACTTCCAATTTTCAGGAATATTAATCCATTTATCTTTAATCTGCAGTGCAGTAGCTCCCCCTATGGCGCCCGGTATGTTGGGTCAATGGTTGCTGATGTGCATCGGACGTTGATGTATGGTGGCATCTTCATGTACCCTGCTAATGAGAAAAACCCCAAAGGAAAGGTAAGAGTATGTGAATGAAGCACTGACATTTACGGATCATACAATACAATTTACATTTATATTGCGCCTGGAACTAAGAGACGCAAGCACAGTGGCTAAGTTTGCAGATGACACCAAGCTAATGAAGGTAGTAGATTCCGAACCTGAAAAAGATAGGTTACAGGAGAATTTGAACATACTTGGGAATTGGGCAGATCGGTGGCAGATGAAATTCAATGTGGAGAAATGTAAAGTACTTCACATGAGGACAAAAAATCCTGAAAGGGACTATTATTTGAACAGAAGGAAAATAATATGCATGGAAAAGGACCTAGGGGTCCTGATTGATAATAAATCGAAGCTCTCCCAACAATGCTCTGTGGCAGTGAGTAAAGCAAATCAGATGTTGGGATGTATCAAAAGATCAATAGCAAACCAAAATAGTGGGGTAATCTTGCCACTGTATAAATCATTGGTGAGACCATAGATAGAGTACTGTGTACAGTTCTGGTTGCCGCAGTGCAAAAAGGATATTGGAGAAATTGAGAAGATACAGAGGAGGGCAACCAAAATGATTGAGGGAATGGAGGGATTGGACTATGAGGAGCGACTAAGTAAATTAGGCATGTTCACGCTGGAAGAGAGAAGATTGAGAGGTGACATGATTGCTGCCTTTAAGATTCTAAAGGGACAAAACAATATAGATCATGACAGGCTGTTTCAACTTATCCAGAATAGTAAAACCGGGCAAAATCAGAACAAATCTACGCAAACACTATTTCAATGAGCAAATAGTGAACCTGTGGAACAGGCTCCCTAGGGAGACATATGAAGCAGGAAGTGTTGATTCTTTCAAACACAGATTAGATAGTTTTCTTTTAGGAAATAACATTGTATCTTAAAGCACTTCACACGGCTGGTTGGGGAGGAGGGAGGAAGATGACCAAAAGCATAATTGAAGAGGTAAGTCATAATATAGGCTTTAAAAGTGGAGAGAGGAGCGAGAGAGAGAGGGGAAATGATTTTAGACAGTGTTCAGTCCTCATTTGTATGCATGAGAAGAAAGCTGGGATGAGGCTGCAGTCTGATGACCTTGAATGTAAAATATCCAGCTAGCAATTAACTATCGAGGTTCAGAAAGGGAATATAGTCACATTTTTAGATTCATATCCCAGCATAATAGCCTGACTTAAGAAAGGAGATTGGTGAAAAGATTTGCATGCAAGACTGATCTCCGTTTGTCTCCTCTTAGCTTCGACTCCTATATGAATGCAACCCCTTGGCTTACATTATGGAGCAAGCGGGAGGCATGGCCACAACAGGTACTAAACCAGTGCTCGATATCGTTCCATGCACCATTCACCAGCGGATCCCAATCGTACTGGGATCCCCAAGTGATGTTCAAGAATACATTGATATTGTAAAGAAGCACCAAGCCAAGTAATATGGGATCAGTTTGGGGGTGTAACTATCTTTGCTTGAACTATCAGTATGTGATGCCTGTACAAATAGATATCACTGAAAGTGTAAAAATAAATACTTGAACCAGTCCCTTTTTTCTCTATCATTGAGTACTTCAGAGAGTCTTGACTTTATATTTCTAAAATTTGGATAAGCCTTTGTTGTGAAAGTGAAAAGAAAATAGCAACAACTTCCATTTATACAGTTCTCTTCAGACATGAAGACAACTTGGAGCACTACACAAGGCTGGTTGAGCAACGAGCGAGGGGGAAGAGGAATGTGACAGTGTATTTTATGTAATGAAGAGAAAACAAGAGTTGTGACATATACATGGAGATTCCAGAGAAATTTATTGGAATGGAATGCGTACTCTCTCTATGGAGGGATGCATCCTGTTTACTTAACTCCAAAGAGTATTAGGTACAGGTTGCCAAGAGTCAAGGCTTGGGGACCCCAGAGTGTGTGTTGGGGTACTGGTGAAATTGCATAGTTTGCCATTGAGAGCACTATCTGGCAGCTTTCCCCCTGTTTGTCCATCTAGGACCAACCTATTTGTTAGGACTTTGGCTTACAGAGTTAACAGGAGCTGAGTGAGAAGAGTCCCTGCGTCCAGTGACTGGTCTGCCCTTCCAAGTCCTGCTGATGAGCTGGGCTATCATCAGCAGTGCCCTGGAATATTGCAGAGCCAGTTCAACTCCAAGGAGACCCTGTTTACTTCCCACCAAAGGAAAAGAGCAACTAGTTGATCATTTGACAGGTGTCAAGTATGGTTTGAGCTCTCTCTAGGTGGATGGTTGGTACCAGGAACTCCCTGCAAGCTTCCTGGTGGGCAACTCAGCTCAGCATGAAATGTGTGAGAACATTGCTACCATCCTCTTGTCCACAGCTCAAACATACATTCCTTCCCATTGAGTGATGGTTCCACTAGGTAGAGGTGTGGAGCTTGAGAAGCAGCTGCTTACCTCTTTAGAAAACCAATCAAGGTGAGTTCCAAACTCTGGATTTACGAACACATGTTCATGAACTCAGAGTCCAGGTAATGCCTTACAGCAGCTGTGGACCCAAGCCTCAGTTTCCTTATCAGCTATCTGGCGGGCATCTGCTTTCAGTGTGGTGGGAGGACCTTTAAAGGACACCTTGTGATTTATCAGCCACTTTAATGTTCTTGAAGTCCACGTCCAATGCCGTGTACCAGGTTTACACAGCACCAGCTGCTCAATCAGGGTGGGTCCTCATGTGAGAGGGTTTGGCAAATAGACATGGCCGCTGTGAAGCCGGCTCCACCTCTAAGGCGCTCAATGACAAGTTAGTGTAGGCCGAAGCCCTCCCTCCCTGTTGCCACTTCCCATGGTTGCCAAAAATCCTGCCTACTTTATCCTGGACTTTGCAAGTGGGCCTGAGGAAGTCTTTCTACTGCATCCCCAGGAGTTCAATTCCATCCACATTGCCTGGAGTGGCTTTGAGGCAATCAAAAAAAGGAGCTCCTACATTTGACTCCCAATCTGTAGTCCATAAAGCTATTATGCTTTCATACTACTTTTGTAATACATTCTGACCCTGTTATAATGCAATGCTTTAGGTCCATAAAATGAGACCCATGTTATAATGGGCAAGTGAAATAAAACTGGCTACCAGCCTCCCGGATCGTCCAATCATTGCCAACGTCACTTCTAGCTTTTGGTGCTGAACAGTCAATTTCCTGAATGCTGTGCATATAGACGGGAAGCCACTCAGTCTGCGCCAGAAGCCGGAGGGGTTACAGTGCACACGACCTATATACGGTCTTGCACTATAATGGATTGTGTTCTATCAGGTTTGGCCCATATTGGGGTATTGCTTAGTTGAAAAAGAAATCTGACCAAATTGTAAGGCTTCCACCTCAAAAGTTTTGTTCTCAAAACATGTGTGCATTTAATTCCTTTCAGCCTTGCCTTTTATATCTGGCACATTTCACTTACCCAGTTACCAGGGACAGATTTAATTATAGCCAAACAACTTTGAGGTCTGTCAGTGATGAACTTTGTGTCATTTCAGTGAGGGTGTCTGCTGTATATGCCAGATCACATTTGACTGCAGCTATGACCTTTTTGATGTGGGTAATATAAGCATGTCCTATAAAATGTTTGTGGTTGCACATAATTCAGTGTTTGGTTTCTGCTGTTTTGATCTCTTGAACAATTATCCTTATTGAGATTTTTACTTTAGTTTTGAAGCTCAGTGTGGTATGAACGAGCACCATGTTACAGTCTGACCTAGTCATACCCTTCTGTCACATGGGATCAAATACATGTATGTATTTCTGTGAATGTGCAGTTCACCTGTTCAAGATCTGTCTATAGGGCAGACAGTGACTGATGGATTTCGGGGAATGTTAGTGAAGTCAAAGTCAAATTGGTCAAAAAAATTGCTCTTTCATCAGTCACTGGTAATATTATAGGAAGTCCCGTTAGTGACCTCTTGTAGACTTTAGCCTTCTCGTTCGCAGCTGTTCCATTCATTTGCCCCCCCCCACCCCGGCTTGTGCTTTAAATAGCTAGCCTGGTCTGGGTAGCTCCACTTGTAACTTCACTGACTCGGTCTGTGTGAAAGAAAGAGGAATCCAGCCACAATGACGGACCAGTCGGCTTTCGATACCGATGTGCAGACCATAACCCGATTTGTCATGGATAAGGGAAGGAAAGCGAAAGGAACTGGCGAATTCACTCAACTCCTGAACTCCCTTCTCACTGCCATCAAAGCTATCTCTTCTGTTGTGAGAAAGGCAGGCCTCGCCCATCTGTGAGTCCACATCCTTCGGCCTCCTTGTGCTCCACAAGTGCCTTGTGCTGCAGAGAATACAACCTTAAAGAAACTAGCTGTGTGTAACAGATTAGACAGTGGTTATAATAATCTTTGTATTTGATATAGCGCCTTATCACATTATTAAGACTCCTCAAAGTGCTTCACAGAATATACTGTAAAGTGAATTGACTGTATATTTTATGGGCGAAACAAGGGAGCCAATTGCCATAGTCATGGATTGAGTGACCAAATTATTTGTTTTTCTCTCTCGCTCTATCTATTTGTTTATTCATGTATTTACTTACTTATTGAAATAATTATTATTGTGTGAATGTAGATAAGGATTGTTTTTTTCTTTAACAAACTTTAACCACACCGTAAACACTAACAGTGACCTTTTTTGTGGGAAGTTTGTTTGTTCTTTAAATAAATGCTATTAATAAAAGAGAAATCTTCACAATTTTTAAAAAGTTTTGAAAAGATTAATAGTATCAGATTATTACCATTATTTGTAAATCAGTAAACCAGTAAGACCTTAAACTATTACTGAGAAAATTAAGAGGGAAGTTAAAAAATTGTTTTCATACAAAGAGTTATTTGAACACAGAAACTTTATAATAATAATCCTTATATTTGATATAGCACCTTATCACACCGTTGAAACACCTCAAAGGATTTTATTTCATGTTTCCGACATGAAGGGCGCTATATAATTGTAATTTGTTATTTGTAATTTGTAATTTATTGTTGTAGGGGAACACAACAACCAATTTGTGTGCAGCATTGTCCCACAAACAGCCATGAAGCGAAAGGCTAATTTTATTAGGAGGATTGTTCACAGGACAGCAGGACCAAGTCATTCTCGTTTTGAATAGAGCAATGGGATTTTTAATGTACACCTGAACAGGCAGACAGGACCTCGGTTTAACATCTCATCCAAAGAATGGCACCTCTGACATCTCTGGCACCCCAGCACTGCAATGAACTGCCAGGCTAGCTGAATGAGTTCAAAGGACTATGTGGGGCTTCTGACTCAGAGGCAAAGTGCTTCCAACTGAGCCAGGCTAACATCGATTATGAATGGATATTGACACTAAGACCATAATAACATTTAAAAGAGAAATATTGTAATAAAGAGTTCAGAGGAAATCATTTAGAATTGAAATTAGCATATGTTTAACAACAACTTGCATTTATATTGTAAATAAAAATAGAAGTCGCTGGGAACACTCAGCAGGTCAGATAGCATGTATGGAAAGAAGAAAGTGAGTTAACATTTCAGGTTGATGACTTTTCTGTAATATTTGTCTGCTAATTGTTATCCAACTCTTCAAGGTGAGATTGGATCATATCAGTAATTCTATTTTTTGCTTCAAAGGTTGACATGGGTAGATATTCCACCTGGGTTTAGATGGACACTATTCATGTAGCATTTCACAGTGGATAGAATTTATCAGTTTGTTTAATTCAGGTTGGGCAGGACAATAGGCCTTGAAGCCCATTTTCTGTAGTTCTTAAAAGGACAACCAAAATGTCTACCCAATTAACAACCGAAACATCAAATTACATTTGTATAGTGCCTTTCACATCAGGAGGACCAAACATATTGAAAGTTTTTTTTTCTAATTTTGTTATTATTTAACCTTTGAAAGGGCTTTAACAGAACCTATAGACATATTTTAATATTGCAATTTGTTTACTTTTATTCATTAGTTATAATAATAAAACTGATTATAGTATTTATTAGTATTAATATTGTTCATAAGTTGTTTTGCGATTGTGTTGATTTTTATTTTGTGTCAAGAATAAGAATGCTTATGTTTTGTTTACTGAGATCACAGAAAGCAGTTCTTAAGTGCGAGTTGCTATGGTTACTGGTGACTTGAAGGAAAGAAAGTGATTATGATTTGGTTGCTCCCTTCTATACATCAGATGTTGTTACAGGGGAGATGGACCAAAATGAGGCATTTGTGTAATAAATTTGATCACTCAATCTATTACTGTTTGTGGGACACTGCTGTGTGCAATTGGCTGCCATGTTTCACCCACAAAATACACAGTCGATCCTCTTTACAATATATTCTGTGAAGCCCTTTGAGACATCGCAATGACAGAATAAAGTGCTATATCAACAACAACAACAACTTGGATTTATATAGCACCCTCCACGCCGGGTGACGTCTCAGAGCACTTCACAGTTTCGGATCCCGGAACAGAGCCATGGGGAGGGGGAGGAAGGTGACCAAAGGCGCGGTCGAAAAGAAAGGTCTTCAGCAGAGACCTGAAAATGGGAAGGGAGGGAGCGAGGCGAAGGGAGTGAGGAAGGCAGTTCCAGAGCCTTGGGGCATAGTGGCTGAAGGCACGGCCGCCTAGGGTGGAGCGGAGGACTCGGGGGACGAGGAGGAGGCCAGACCCGGAGGAACAAAGGCAATGGGTGCTGTTTAGAGGAGAGAGGAGGTTAGAGAGGTAGGGGGGTGCAGAGGAATGGAGGGACTTGAATACAAGGGTGAGGAACTTGAAGTCGATCCTCTCTGGGATAGGCAGCCAGTGCAGTTTGGCAAGGACTGGAGTGATCGGGGAATGGAGTTTTGTGTGGGTGAGAATGCGGGCGGCAGAGTTTTGAATGATCTGGATTTTATGGATGGTAGTGGATGGGAGACCGGCGAGGATGGCATTGGAGTAGTCCAGCCGAGAGCTGACAAAGGCATGGACCAGGGTTTCAGCGGCTTTTGGAGAGAAGTATTGGCAGAGATGGGCGATGCAACGGAGGTGAAAAAAGGCGGTGCTGGTGAGGGACAATGTGGGGGAGGAAGCATAATTGGAGGTCGAATCTGACGCCTAAGTTGCGTACGGGTTCGGAGAATTTTAGTGGGAGGTCGGGTAGGTGGAGGAGATGATAACCATGAGATTTTAGATGTTGACAAGAGACGTTCAGCTGAAGGAAGTTTGCGCTCATCCAGCCCCTGAGGTATGACAGGCAGACTGACAGAACTGGGAATCGCAAAGAGAGGTGGAAGAGTAGAGTTGGGTGTCATCTGCATACATGTGGAAATGTACCCCATGTCTGCGGATGACATCCCTAAAAGGGAGCATATAGATCAGAAAGAGGAGGGGGTCAAGGATGGATCCTTGGGGTACCCCACAGGTGACCGGGTGAGAGCGGGAGAAGAAGCCGTTTATACAGATGTACTGCTGGCGGTATCAAACGCTAGAGAAAACAAACAAGAGGTCTTCATTAAACTGTACAAAACAGCCAACCTTTGGGATTAGCAGGGACAGCAGTGTACTTTCTCATTCCTGCAACACGCAGTGTTTCCAGGTGTCCGGAGTGCAGAATTTAGGAAAGCTGGCTACTGTGCTCACAAGTCTAATGGACAACCATGTTGTATCTAAACTCACATAATAGCGAGGCACATTAGAAACATAAAACCACAGAGATTTACAGCACAGAAGGCCATTCGACCCATTGTGTCTGTGCTGGCACTTTTAAGAGCAATCCTTTCGGTCCCATTATCCTGTCCTTTCCCCATACCCCTGTACTTTAGGCAAATGAGAGGATGATAGAAGGGACTGTAGAATGGAGTTCCAAACGATGAGAACATTTTACCCAATCATTGGTTATTGTTAACAAAGGGCATTTCTAAAGATATGAGGGAAACAGACAAGCAGATCCTGAGTAATTGAAGGTTGGCTTGGGAGGAGCATTCATAGGCACACCATGACATCAGTCAGTGAATTGAGTCACCGGGGAGATGTGGGGAGAAATGCCAGTGTGCAGACTTCTTGACAATTATACTCTTAAGATTTACACAAATTGTTGGATTACAGAAGGAATGAAGCTTGTCTCTCAGCAAACAAGCATGTTTAAAAGTCGTAAATCTATTGCTATTGAAAAGGGTTTTGTCAGGTCAGATCATTGTTTCAGAGGAATGAAAACTATCTCTCATCTAAACTGTTAACATTGAAAGTCACACTATGTTGTTAAAGAGATATCATTGGTTGAATAGCTACCAGGGCAGAGGTGCCATCCTTTGGTTGAGAAAGTAAACTGAGGTCCTGTCTGGCTGTTCAGGTGAAGATTAAAGATCCTATTCACTATTTGAAAAGAGAAACAAGCTTCTCCAGGTGTCACGGCCAACAATCTTTGACATTTTGTTTTAAACTCCATGGCTGTTTGCGTGACCCAGCAAAGCGGTACCACGTTTGCCTACAAATTCACAGGCACTACACTTGCCAGCAATTAGCTGTGCAGTGCTTTGAAAGGGTTTCAACGTTATAGGTGCTGTATCAACTTCAAGGAATTTTATTATTATTAAATCGCTAAAATAGTTATCACACCCATTTTTATTTTATTTAGGTATGGAATTGCGGGGACTGTGAATGTGACTGGAGATGAAGTGAAGAAGCTGGATGTGCTGTCCAACAATCTTGTCATTAACATGTTAAGATCATCCTACAGCACATGTGTGCTGGTGACGGAGGAGAATGCAGATGCAGTGATTGTAGAGCCTGATAAGCAGGTTGGTGGCGCAACAACAACAACATTTCATTTATAGAGCGCCTTTCACGTCGGGAGGACGTCCCAAGGCGCTGGACAGTTGGGTCGGGACTCGAGCAGGGGGGAAATAATCAGGGTGAGGGGAGGGAAGGGAGGGAGCGAGGAGGGGGTAGAGAGTCGAGAGGGGAGCTAAAGGCACAGTTGAAGAGAAAGGTCTTGAGACCGGCCTTGAAGGAGGAAAGGGAGGAGGCGGCGAAGGCACTGGGGGATGGAGTTCCAGAGCCTAGCGGCTGAGAGGCTGAAGGCCCGGCCACCGATGGTAGGGCGGTTAGGGCGGGGGATGTGGAACAGACTGGAGCCAGAGGAACGGAGGGTATGAGCAGGTAAGTAGGGGGATAGTAGGTCGGAGAGGTAGGAGGGAGCAAGGCCGTGAATGGCCTTGTAGGTGAGGATGAGGATCTTGAATTCGATCCTCTGGGGGATGGGGAGCCAGTGGAGGCGAGCGAGGGTGGGAGTGATGTGGTCCCGAAGCCTGGTGCGGGACAGTACACGAGCTGCAGAGTTCTGAATGACCTGCAGCTTGTGGAGGGAGGTGCCGGGAAGGCCGGCGAGGAGAGAGTTCCCATAGTCCAGCCTTGAGGTGATAAAGGCGTGGACCAGAGTTTCAGCAGCGTGAGGGGTGAGGTAGTGCCGTAGTCTGGCGATGTTCTGGAGATGGTGGAAGGCAGTGCCAGCTGTGGCGCAGATGTGGGGAAGAAAGGACAGCTCAGGGTCGAACAGAACAACGAAGTTCCTGACTAGTTTTGAGAGGTGGAGAGTGCAGCCTTGGATGCTGATGGTGTCAGCGCCTGAGGTTCGGAGGCGCTGACGTGAGCCAATCGGGAGGGCCTCAGTTTTGCGCACATTGAGCTGAAGAAAGTTGTCTCTCGTCCAGGACTCGATGTCGGACAGGCAGACTGTCAAGCAACGGTGGTCGTGGAGTTGAGGGTAGAAGAAGAAAGGTAGAGTTGGGTGTCATCCGCATACATGTGGAAGTTAACCCCATGTCTGCGGATGATGTCACCAAGGGGGAGCATATAGAGGGTGAGGAGGAGGGGACCTAGTACAGAGCCCTGAGGGACACCACACGAGACAGTGCGGGGGCTGCAGGAAAAGGCATTTGCAGAGACAAAATGAAGATGGTGGGAGAGGTAGGACCTAAACCACTCAAGGACAGGGCCTTGAAGGTTGATGTGGGAGGACAAGCGGTGGAGGAGGATAGAGTGGTCGACCGTATCGAATGCGGCCGATAGGTCGAGGAGGACGAAGAGGCAGAGGGATCCCTGGTCGCAGATGGTCAAGATGTCATTGGTGACCTTGACCAGGGCGGTTTCCGTGCTATGGGCAGCACGGAAACCCGACTGGAGGGGTTCAAAAAGTGAGTGGGTGAAGAGGAAAGAGCGCAGCTGCGAGGCGACGACTCTTTCGAGAACCTTGGACAGGAAGGGGAGGTTGGAGATGGGCCAGTAGCTTGATAACTGTGACGCATCAAGGGAGGGATTTTTCAACGTGGGAGTGATGGTGGCAGTTTTGAGGGGAATGGGAACAGAGCCAGAGGAAAGGGACAGGTTAATAGTGTCTGTGAGAAGTTGGGCAAGGAGGTGGAGCTGAGAGATAAGGAGTGGGGATGGGGTCCAGGGAGCAGGTGGTGGGTTTCAAGGGCAGGATGAGTTTGGTGACAGAGGTTGGGGAAATGGGTTCGAAAGTGTGTAGGGGAGGATGGGTAGGAGTCAGAGTGTGGGAGGGAAGGGGTGGGGGGTGGGTGGAATTTGGAGGGGCAGTGACCGCGGAGTGGATTCCCTTGATTTGGGATTCAAGGAAATCCAGCATCTCCTCGCAGTGAAGGTTGGAGGAGATGACCTGCGCGGGGTGGCGGGGGGGACAGAGGAGTCGCAATGTGGTAGAGAATAGAAGCCTGGGGTTGTTCTTCGCCTCCAGGATTATCCTGGGGTAGAAGGATGACTTGGCCGAGGCTAGAGCGGAGCGGTAGATTTTGAGGAGGTCCAGCCAGATTTGCCGGTGGACCGTTAGAGGGTGTTGTGGAGGAGGGTGAGAGCAGAAGAGGGGTCAGTGAGGGATGAAGGCCAGAGGGAGAGGAGTTCAGAGGACTCCAAGGCAGTGGTTAGGGATTGTGGGGGCAACTTCTTCCAGGGGTGGTAGAAGATGCTGGTGGGTCTGGTAGAGGTAGGGAGAGGGGTGGACGTGGTGAAGGAGATGAAGTGGTGATCGGAGATGGCCTTGTTGGTAATGGTGACATCCGAGACACTGAGGCCCCAGGTGATCACCAAATCGAGTGGGTGGCCGTGAATGTGAGTGGCGGAGTTGGTGTGGAGGGAGAGGTTGAGCGAGGAGAGGATGGAGGAGAAGTCCGAGGAGATGGAGCCGGAGGGGGTGAAGTGCAGGTTGAAGTCGCCCAGGATGATGAGGCGATCAGAGCAGAGGCAGAGGGATGTTAGGAGGGTAGAAATATCAGAGAGGTTTTAGGGGGCCGGTAGAGGAGGAGAATTTTGAGTGAGAGATTGGAGGGGTGGGAGAGGGTGAGGTGCTCGAAAGAGGGGAAACATCAATCACTGATGATATCTTCTGAGCACAGTTACATCTGTAATTATGTTACTATTATTGAAAGGATTCAGATTGTATTGGGTAAAAGATACTTTGAAGGAATCTTCAGGGACATTGGATGGATAGGCTGATAATCAGGCCCACTGTTACAAGGGATGGAAAATGTGATTATGTAACGTGATAAGATGATAATTATCACATCGCTGAAAATTAGAGTCCAGAACAGTCAATAACTATCGACTGATTTAAGTGTGAACACTCACCTCCTCCCCACACCCCCAACCACAAACACACAACCTTCTGACTCAGAGGCAAGAGTACTAATAACTGAGCCAGACTGATACAGATAGTTAGTAGCAGATCTGAACAGGAGTTTAGGAAGAACTTTATGCAGAGGGTGGAACTCACTGCAACTGGTTGAAACAAAAAGCATCATTGTATTCCTGAAGAGATTGTATATACGAGTGGGAGAAGAGAATAAAGGAGTCTAGTAGAAGGGATTAGGAAGGGTGCAGGCTCATGTATAGTATAATAATAATCCTCGCATTTGATACACATTATCACGTCTTCGAGACATCTCAAAGCGCTTCACAGAATATACTGTAAAGTGAATTGACAGTATATTTTGTGGGCGAAGCACAGCAGTCAATTGCGCAAAGCAGTGTCCCACAAACAGTCGTGGATTGAGTGACCAATTTATTACTTTTTTTTGAAGAAAGTATAAACACCAGTGTGGACAAGTTGAGTCGAATGGCCTGTTTCCATGCTGTATCATCCTATTGTAATTCTATGTAATTGATCACAATGTCATTTTAGTTTCATTTCACAGGATACCAGTCTAACCCTCTCACACAGCAGTCTAACCCTCTCACACACCAGTCTAACCCACTCACACACCATTCTAACCCTCTCACAAATCAGTCTAACACACTCAAACATCAGTCTAACGCACTTCAATACCAGACAGATACCAGTCTAACACAATTAGAGTACAACATTTACTTCATGCTCATTCACAAGCCTTTGGTTAAGTCCTCAGGTCACCCTGTATCCAGGGTCTAGTGAGTGGGTATGAATCAGAGGACTTTCCCTGTTGAAATTAGTTTACGTTGTATGGTGGGCTTTACGTTTTGTGGTGGGCTTTACGTTGTATGGTGGGTTTTACATTGTAATTGTTTTTACAGGGAGAGGCACCAGTAAGATTACTCCTTTCCTCAGTAATGTTTTATTATTATCTAATTATTATTTAATTATTATTATTATTATCAGCTCTGATGTGTGACATTATAATCCCATTAACAAGATCAATCTGTGTTTCTTTCTTTCTAGGGTAAATACGTGGTCTGCTTCGATCCGTTGGATGGTTCTTCCAACATTGATTGCCTGGCATCCATAGGAACCATTTTTGCTATTTACAAGAAGGTAAAACATTTCTTTTCTTATTAGAGATTCAATCAGTGTTCAGTGCTAAACCCCAAACTAGCACAAACTAAAGAAGCTTATTTTATTATCTCTCTTATACCCTTTGTCCAGTAAAACTGACAGGCAGCCAGCCAGCTCCAGGGCATGAACCACTGCTATTATGTAATTGCCTATCAGGAGTCACACCAGGAGTGGCCTGAACCAGGAACGTCTAGGAGGAATAGTCTGGTTAGATTGAGTGGTCTCTTCCCATGCCTGTTTTTCTGAGTTTATTCCTGCTTGGAAATCAAATATAGAGTCAATTCATTTTACAGTATATTCTGTGAAGCGCTTGGAGACATCTCAAAGACATAAGGCATTATTATCAAATGCAAGGATTATTATAAGGATTATTGCCACCATCTACTTGTTCATTGAAACATGTTAATTGCTCTTGCAATTTCTGCTACGTAACATGATAAGATCTTCATAGTTTTTGGTCGAGCAACAACCCAAATCTTCCTGACCTGACAATAATGTTTCCCATCCAAAAACTCTGTCTCTTTGCTCTGCTCTACAATGTTGGAGCATGGTTCCAGAGGTAGCAGAGATTCCCTAGTCGATCATCTTCATTTCACACGAGCCTGAACACTGGCAATTCAACGATAGCTTCCCCAGCGTTTACACATAATAATAAATAGCAATCCTTGCATTTGATATAGCACTTTTCATGTCTTCTAGACATCTTAAAGTGCTTCACAGAATGGTGAAACACGGCAGCCAATTGCGCACAGCATTGTCCCATAAACAGTCACGGATTGAATGACCAATTTATTATTGTTTTTTTGAAGGATTATTATCCCTGGAAAAGTGATCCACCAATCGACTAACAACCAGGTTCCTACTTACTGCTAGGTCAACAGAAGCGTGTGGAGTAAGGAAACTTGCCCAACATTTCGCCCTGCCGGGAATTGAACCAAGGTTGGGTTTGATTCTCTCTCTTTTGAGGCGAGTGCTCTAATCACTGAGCTACAGGAATCCACATACATTATCTGCCAGGGCTGACCCAATAGCAACCATGTTAGGTCACTGTAATTGTTGGAATCTGTAACCGCATTTCACTCCACCACAGACTTACTGAAAGTAGGTCAATGGATAGCAAGCTGTATGTGCATGTGGCCACAAGATGGCGATCCCCTACCTTCTAAATTTTCTATAGCAAAACAATTGCTGAGATCAGTGATCTACTGGGTGCACATGCCCAGAACATCACTCTGTCCTTGTTTACTTATAGGGGTGGGATCAGATCTGGTTAAAGAGTAAGCTGGTTGACTTGAATTAAAGTGACTCCTCTAGTGAGCTACATTACTTGAGAGGCCTCCAAGCCAAACACTTGAAAGCATAATTCATTCTGACAGCAGAGACTCAAGCGCCCGCTCTTCCACATACCAATTTGTCACGTGGAAGGACAGTGTTATCTTTCTACTGTGTCATCCGCACCCTGTTGACATGCAACTCCACACTTCTTGCAGTGCTGAAAAACTAAAAGGCCATTGCCATAAAATAAAGGCACGCAATCCGAATTCCAATTATAAGGCCAGGGATGTTACTAGTTTGCTGCTCACTGATTACATTCCACTAATCTTAATCTTGCAGAAATAATTTGTGGTATTTCTTAATAAGGAATCAGTAATGATAGGGCAGAAATTTAAATACGATCAAGAAAAGAATTAAAGGAAGTTAAAATAAATTATTTTACACAGAGGGTGGTTGGAATGTGGAATTCTCTAATCTTAGATACGTAAGGCATTCCCAGACCACATCACAGCAGAGTCCCCAGGGGGTCTGTGTCATAGATTCGGTACAGGAAGGAATCCCTATTTGCATATCTTAGTTCTTGTTCCTGATCTCTACAACAACAACAACAAGATTCCATTTATAGAGCGCCTTTCACGTCGGGAGGATGTCCCAAGGCGCTGTACAGTTGGGTCAGGACCCGAGCAGGGGGGAAATGGTCAGGGTAAGGGGAGGGAAGGGAGGGAGCGAGGAGGGGGTAGAGAGTCGAGAGGGGAGCTGAAGGCACGGTCAAAGAGATCTCTGCTGGGGGGAGGGGAGAGAATGGGGGAGAGGTGGATAGGCAGGATTACTTATGCTCAGCTTCCATCATGACCTATAATTACACAGTCATTATAAATAGCAGAAAATCCTGTGAAACACTTTGGGACGTCCTATCCATGTGAAAGGCGTTATACCAAATACCAGGATTATTATATTTTTCACCCAGTTGGGACTCCTGTCCTTGCTAATGGAGGCCACTTCGATGAGTTCCAGGCGGAGGGGAGTGGGTGAATGACAACATGGGGCCTGATTCCTGTGGAACCATACAAGCCAGAGCAAGAGCCTTCACGAGACAAGTGGTGAGGGAGGCCTGGGGGAAGGGGCATAACCCAATAACAATAAACCAGCAGATGTGTCATCACATACCAGCTACCATGGACACATACAAAGCACAACTTTTTTTCAAAACAGTTCATGGTCCCTTGGGTGTAAATGATCACATTTCCAACCACATTTCCTGCTATTTCTACTGTTCTTTTCAACAACAAGCTTGATAATATGACAAATAATCCTTGTATTTGATACAACTCCTTTCACATCAAGAAGATGTCTCAAAGCGCTTCCCAGGATTTAGTGTAATGCGTAGTGATTGTGTATTTTGTAGGTGAACACAGCAGGCATTTTGCTCACAGCAATGTCCCACAAACAGCCATGAAGTGAATGATCAGTGTTACTTGGAGGATTGTTGATCAGGACACTGGGAGAAACTCCCTTCTCTTTTGGAGCAGTGCTATAAAGAATCTTTAATGTCCACTTGACCAGACAGACACAGCTTTCATTGCAACCTGCTATGCGTTTGCTGCTTTGCATTGGACATTTGATGCCAAGTTTGGGTTAAAAGAACGTAGTTAGACCCTATTATAGTGCAGTGGTTTGTATCCCTAAAACTAAAGCACCATATTATTATGGGTCTTACATTACAGTGTAATTTCTGGTCAGCACTTCTGGGTCATGAGCTTGTGGATAACATCTCTCCCCTAACATCACCGAGCTGTGTATGTATGAAGTGCACAGTTAGCGGAGACTCCTCTCGTATTTCCACTGGTTCCACTACCCTTTATGCCCCTCCTATTCTACCTCAACAACAGTTCCACTATTTTCATCCACTCTCTGGAACTATATCCTTGAATCCATCCACCTTGTTCCCTCCTTCCCTACCTTTAAAGACCTTGGATGTTTAATGTCCACCCTAATAGCCAGATGGAGTTTCAGTTTTAGTGTCTCATCTGAAGGATGGCACCACAAATAATGCAGCTCTTGCTCAATATTGCACTGGTGTTAACTATAGGTTGTAAGATCAAGTCCCAATGTAAGGCTTCAACCCACAAGTTTTTGAATTTCAGAGAGGCAAAAGTGTTACCAACTTAGCCAGGCTTCACTTTACTTGGGGTAACTCTACCTTTCCTCCTCTACTCTCAACTCCACGACCACTGATGTCCTGACAGTCTGCCTGTCCGACATCGAGTCCTGGACGAGAGACAACTTTCTTCAGCTCAACGTGCGAAAAACCGAGGCCCTCCTGATTGGCTCACGTCAGCGCCTCCGCACCTCAGGCGCTGACACCATCAGCATCTAAGGCTGCACTCTCCACCTCTCAAAGCCAGTCAGGAACCTCGGCGTTTTGTTCGACCCTGAGCTGTCCTTTCTCCCTCACATCCGCACCACAACTGGCACCGCCTTCCATCACCTCCGGAACATCGCCAGACTACGGCACTACCTCACCCTCACGCGGCTGAAACCCTGGTTCACGCCTTTGTCACCTCAAGGCTGGACTATGGGAACTCTCTCCTCGCCGGCCTTCCCGCCACCTCCCTCCACAAGCTGCAGGTCATTCAGAACTCTGCAGCTCGTGTACTGTCCCACACCAGGACCACATCACTCCCACCCTCGCTCGCCTCCACTGGCTCCCATCCCCCAGAGGATTGATTTCAAGATCCTCATCCTCACCTACAAGGCCATTCACGGCCTTGCTCCCTCCTACCTCTCCAACCTACTATCCCCCTACCTACCTGCCCGTACCCTCCGTTCCTCTGGCTCCGGTCTGCTCCACGTCCCCCGCCCCAACCGCCCTACCATCGGTGGTCGGGCCTTCAGCCTCTCAGCCCCCAGGCTCTGGAACTCCATCCCCCAGTGCCTTCGCCTTGCTTCCTCCCTTTCCTCCTTCAAGGCCGGTCTCAAAACCTTTCTCTTTGACCAAGCCTTCAGCTCCCCTTTCGACTCTCTTCCCCCTCCTCGCTCCCTCCCTTCCCTCCCCTCACCCTGACCATTTCCCCCTTCCTCGCTCCCTCACTTCCCTCCCCTCACCCTGACCATTTCCCCCTCCTCGCTCCCTCCCTTCCCTCCCCTCACCCTGACCATTTCCCCCCTCCTCGCTCCCTCCCTTCCCTCCCCTCACCCTGACCATTTCCCCACTCCTCGCTCCCTCCCTTCCCTCCCCTCACCCTGACCATTTCCCCCCTGCTCGGGTCATGACCCAACTGTGCAGCATCTTGGGACGTCCTCCTGAGGTGAAAGGCGCTTTATAAATGGAATCTTGTTGTTGTTGTTGTTGTAACAAGCAAGTAAGATCAAACTCTAAGGGGTATGAGAGTTAATTTGGGAGATGTAGAATGTTAATTCTCCCAAGCACTTCCCACTTGTGTTGGAGAGGACTGGGAATTTCCCAGCCACCCTTCCCTCTCCAGCCTGAAAGCCTAGGGAAAGGCAAAACAACTTATAAAGTAAAAAAAATACAGTTGCAATTAGCATTCCATTCCTGTGTCGTTATTTCCTTGGTCTCAGGATCTTTGAGTAGTACAGGATGATTCGATACTCTGAGCACAGAAGATATGTGTGAGGCAGGATGGGTCAAAGGTGCTTTTTAATGGTTGGTGGCAAAGGAGGTCATACATCAGTGATAATTAGCACATCACATATCGCAAATTCCTCCTCACCTTTGCCAGAGAATGCATTAGCTTAATTCCATTAAACTTTGATTAAAATTATCCAGTATTACCTCTGGATAATCTGTGTTCAGATAATTAGCTTGATATTTTGAACACTAACTGGCCCTGTTTCTCCAGCTGGGACAGCACTACCCCTTAAACCTTTGACATGCTGGGGTAACAGGAGCCAAGTGGGAAGAATCCATGGCCCCAGTGACTGTTCTGCTCCTTCAAGTCCTGGTAATTCTCCAGGCCGGCTGGTCTGTTAAAAGTAGTACCATAAACCTGACTGGCTGAGGAAGCGGAGTGCTGAGAAAGCCACAGAGGATCTATTCAGTGCCAATAATCCATTGCAGGCATGTCAACTTGGAACCAGCCCAGCCCCAAAGAGGCCCTGACTACCTTCCTTCCCTCTCAAGGCGGATCGTCACTCTACAGCTGCTCACATCTGTAAATGCAGTTAGCCAAACACTTCTATATTTCAATTCACATAAGCACTGAAAACCACTTCCTTCTGGAAGTGCCTCAAACAGATCCCTTATAAGGCAATTTGTTAAAATGGTCCAATTTTGATATGCGATACCAATGATTCATTAACATGTGAGTTGGGGATGTGCATGATGCCTGAGTCATGATCAGTTTGCAAACACACCTTGCCCTTATCTGCTTAGCTTTCTGTGGCGGTGATCACCATTGGCCTGAAAGTAGACTCCACAGTAATTGACCCTATTATTTCTTTGGCAGGTATCTGAAGAGCCGCCGAGTGAAAAAGACGCTCTTCAGCCTGGCCGGGACATAGTGGCTGCTGGGTATGCCCTGTACGGCAGTGCCACTCTGGTAGCTCTCTCCACTGGACAGGGAGTCGACTGCTTCATGTTGGATCCAGTACGTAATGAACGTTAACCACTGGTATATCACGGCCTCCAGCTTGATGCTTTATATTGAAAATATTTTCACCGCACGATAGAAACTCTAAAACATCCTTCCTACAAGTGGTCAGTGCTGGTGAAATATGGAGAGGAGGAGAGGGAGGAGAGTGAAAATAAGAAATAATGAATAAACAGGAGTAATTATATATAGTAAACTCCTGATATCTCAACTCTGGCTTAACTTGTCACTATCACTTAAGTCATCATGCTCTCAATATCCCGGCCACATTTATTTTGCTGGATTTATTTCATAGTGTAGTGTCTGCATTTGTGGGTGAATGCAGCAGCTAATTTGCGCACAGCAATGGCCCACAAACAGCCATGACATGAGTGAACCCATTTAATTTAGGATAGTGAAATGACACTTCCTCCTCTTGCCAATCTGTTTTTCGGCAACTCTAAGTATCAGAATCATTCTGACTCTATACCTATTAATAAATCCAATTCCTACTGTACATTATTACATGGATCTCTTTCAAACTGAGCCTTGTACCATTAATGCAATAATGGTATAATTGAAAATATTAATAAAACATAAATTCAGATAAATTCTTATTGGTGCTGGTATTTCTCACCCTCATGAGTGCTTGCCCCAAATTCAATTAAAAATTGTAAATGGTCAATCTCTCCTACCCAATTTATTTGATAAATATCTATCCAATACGCTCTTGAATTTGCTGATAATCTACTTCCACCACTTCTCCACAGAGTCAATTTCACATTCAGAGGAACCCCATGATGGTGTAGTCAGATAGAGTGTTGCCTTCGGCAACCCTCCTACTCTCTCTGTGCGCCACCCTCCCTGATCACTGACCAGCCAGCTTCCCATGCTAAAATGGTCTGACTTCTGGGTAGAACAATATAGTTTTTTATTTGATATTAATTAACTATTACTGCATTTTAATCAATTCTAAAATTTGCAAAACAGGCAGTCACTACACTTTATAGTGATATCCTATGAAGCGCTTTGGGATGTCTTACTGACATGAAAGGCATGATACCAAATATAAGGATTATTATAATAAAATTATTTACCTTAGGTTCCAATTAATTACAGATATTTTATCTCACCTTAAACCAATAAGTTAGTTTGTGCTGAGTACCGAGCAGCACTTACCTGTGGTGCTGTGATACTACCACTAGCCATGTTTGACCCCTGGCTTCCACCACCTCCCAAACCCACCAACCCCCAACAAATGATGCTTCTCGCTCTGTTTCTAGGCCTTGGGGGAGTTTATTCTTGTGGACAAAGATGTGAGAATAAAGAAGAAAGGGAAGATCTACAGTGTGAATGAAGGCTACGCCAAATACTTTGACCCTGCAGTCACTGAATACATTCATAAGAAAAAGTTCCCTGAGGTATGACTTTCACCATTTTAAAGGGGAGCTCCAGAAATGGTACCAAAAATTTAAGCTTATTGGATACGACTCATCAAGCTTCCATTGTTGATCACTGGATTAGGTTAAATGGCAACACATCAGCATCCATGGATGCACACTCCACCTCACTGAGCCAGTCATGAACCTGGGCGTCTTGTTCAACCTCCGTGCTATGACTCGCTCTGCCTTCCCCCACCTCCGCAACATTGCCCAACTCCACCACTGCCTCACCCCTCAGTCTGCCTTCATTACATCCAAGCTCGGCTATGTGAATACCCTGCTTCCCAATTCTTCCCTCCATAAGCTACAGATCATCCAGAACTCTGCAGCTCATGTTCTCTCCCGCACCAGGATCTGTGACCCCATCACAACCACCCTCATCCGACTCCACTGGCTCCCCATCCCTCAGAGGATCAAGTTCAAAATTCTCGTCCTCACCTTCAAGGCCCTCCATGGCTTTGCCCCCTACTATCTCTCCGACCTGCTAACCCCTTATCAATCTGTCTGCTCTCTCTGCTCAGCAGGCTCTGGCCTGCTCCATGTTCCCCACTTGGGTCCTAATCCCTGACTATTCAGCGCCTTGGGACATCCTCCCAACGTGAAAGGCGCTTTACAAATATTATTTTGTATTATATTTCATTGAAACGGTTGGGCTTGAAGCTGTTTACAGCTGCTACTGGACTAGTCAACTGCAGAATGCAGGGTTTGAGTGCCAGTTCCCATGATATTCATTTATCTAAGTGTGCTGAGATGCTACCTTGCGTGGAGGGTGCTATATAATTGAAAGTTGTTGCTGTTGTTATCTCACTTGAGTTAAGCCAGAAACCATGAACCACCACTCAAGCCATGCATCGGGTCCAACCATTTTGAAAAAACTCAGGGGAAGGGGTTCACACTAATGGTCAGACACGACAACCCGATTGAATTATCTATATTGTGATAGTCACACCCTGATTTTTCACACCGCATGTCACAATTTCACCCCACCTACACACAGGCAGCAGTTTCCTAATGATAGAAAATGACTTCAGTTGCTCTGGGCCTTCGTTTCAAGCAGAATAAGACCAAGTCCTTGGTTGCTGTTTACACTGAGAACTCATTACCAAAACAAATATGGATGTAAATGTGTTGCACTGAGCCAGGCAGAATAAGGAGGCCCCAGATACAATTCATGTTTGCAGGCAGCATATCCAGGCTAAAGTGAGGGAGTGGGTTTATCAGCCAGGGACTTCGCTCCTGACCACTCAGTAGTTATTTTGAGCACTTAGACAAACAGCATATTAAAGCCATGACTACCGTGGCCTTCATTACAGGTGGTTTGCTATGATGACTCACCCATACAAGTGTGCCCTCCTTTACGGAGGGTGAAATGAGCCAGGATTCCAAATCATATGAGATCTCAAATGTTGTATATTCTTAACCTTTAAGATCATTTTGCCTTAAAACAAGATCGTCCAGAATTGTGAAAAAGTCTTAAATGCTGTCTCAATTTGGAAGCCAGTTCCTACAAGATTTTTTTAAATTGGCTTCCAGATCAAAGCTGAATTTAAGAATTTTGAGATGGGAGAAAAAAATGGGGAAGATACCAAAATGCAACTTAAAAAATAAATAGTGTCAGCAAGTGTCAGCATGCTGTGTGGTGCTGCCAGGGGTGGGGGAGTAGAGCGCAATCGAACAGCTGGAGTTTGGTACAATTTGTCGCAGCTGCATCTCTGCAGTTAGTGAAAGGCTAAGATGTGGTACATTAGTTCAGTTAAAACAAGACGCAGATCTAATTTCTAGAACATTGTTAGGAGAGACGCCTACGTGCATTACACACCCAGTTTAACTTACAACAGCCAAGGTGATGCCATGACTTTGAATCAGGTGATTGGAAAAACAAACTGGTTTGCATGTCTCACTTCACTGTCACATCCAACCATATCTCTCCATCTTTACCTCTGATACCAAAAGCAAGGAGGACATCCTCGTGAGAAAAATTAGCATTTGTCTGGTTGCATTCCTCCTCCCCCAGGTTTGTGTACTTCACAATGTGTCTTGTCTATATTATGGCATGTCTGGTGCATATCACAACATGTCTTATATATATCATGATCGCATCTTGATTATATCACAACGTGTTATATTTATATCACAATATGTTTTGTGTCATAGCCTGCGGCTGATATTAGGGCAACATTGGGTCAGTGCTATCAGGTATAAATATATAAAGGCTACAAAATAAGTGAAGGGAATATCACTGTTGGGGTGGACACGAGACTATATTTTTGATATAGTGCATCAAATGGGCAACTCATTCAGTTGTAAAATGTAACCGATGTATTTGGGGAGAACTGGGTGGTGCCATAGGTTTTGTAAGGCAATAATAAGGAGATTATTGTTGCTGCTCGCTCTTCTTGATCAGACAAGTTCTGCTCCAAAGTTATTTAAAGCAATAGCTGTTTTTAAATCACATGATAGCACATGATGTGTACTCCCCACTATTAACACTCCTCAGGCCAAAAGAGTGAGAAATTAATAAATGTGGGCAGGTACAGCAGTACTTTTCAAATCTGATTCAGATCACTGTAGTCACACCCACAGCGGCCTTGCCATTCACGTGCTTTGATAATGTAGCCAAGGTGGTAGCCACTGCTTATCTTCGGCAATGATTTCAAGGAATTTATAGCGAACCAGGCAGCCTTGTGGTGACATCACTCATTCTGCACATCCATATACCTTTCCACTACCTGTGGCTGAAGGCAAACAAGGAAGGTCCAAGCACGTGTTCCTAAGCCACATTCATGGCTCTGCCCTTTCCTGATTTCACTCATTATTACCTGTCCCAGTGTCTTTTCTTGTTTCCTCCAATGGCTCCTTCTTACCTCTCTCCAGCTCAGTCACTTTGAGGTGTTCTTCAGGGCTATTCTTGGTCCAGCCCATTTCACCATCTACATGTTCCCCCTTGGCGATATCATCTGAAGGCACTGGATCCACTTGGATGACACTCAATTCTATCTCTTTGCCTCTACTCTCGATTCTAGGATCAATCCTGCTCTGACTGATTACCAGCAGACATCAGGTGGGGAACGAGTTCCCTATTCTACAGCTCAGTATCAACAAGGGGAAGGCTCTCCTGCTTGGATCCAGGCAGCACCTTCTCACCTCAGATGCTCACTGCATCAACTGTGATTTCAGCCACCTTTCTGTCCCCTCTCAACTCCTCCCCCCAGCTCAGCTCCAGTCAGTTGTGCAAAGCACTTTATGAAGTGCTCCCGATGTCAAAGGGGTTATAAAAATATAAATTGTTTTGTTTGTTATTTGTTGGACTTTGCTGTGTGCAAAATGGCCTATAGACCCACAATAACATACACTTTACAGAAAACCTTGTGAAGTACTTTGAGATGTTTTGACATGCGCTATATCAAATGGAAGGATTATTATAGTGTAACCACAATCTACAAACCGTGCCTTGAAAGGGTAGACTGCTGTTGAATTTGTTGAGTTCTACTCATCTTGGTAAAAAAAATTATTTATCAGCAGTTGGCTGCTGTGTTTCTCTCACAAAATACACAGTCACTACACTTTACAGAATATTCTGTGAAGCGCTTTGAGATGTCTCAAAGACATGATAAGGCGCTATATCAAATGCAAGGAATATTATTATTATTGTTGTGTGTGAGGGGGGCTGGCGGAAAGGGGTTGGATACAGAAATTCCTGGGCTTTTTTGTCCACAGGACACACTTAGCAAGGAGTTTGATTATGTATTTTGGTGCCTCAAACCAACTTTTCTGCCAAAAGGCCACGTGGTGGTCCAAGCGCAGGTTCTTAAGTCATTAACAATGCTGTAATTCATATTGAAAGACCAGGCAGTGATCTTTACATTGACTCAACATCCGTTATCAAGTGCGGAAAGCACTAGATCTTAAGCAAGAGGCAGACAAGCTGACCATGACAAATGTTTCTGTTCGTCCAAGAGTTAAAATGCATTTGCAGCCTTCCCCTCAGTATAGTTTTATTTAAACACAGCCTGGAAACAAACAAGCCCAGATAAACTTCATTGGAACATTCAGTGCACAATATGACCTTTGATCTACTGTATTAGAGTGCGTCATCAATATTTGAATGTTTATGAGCTGCCTGCTGAACTCTCTCAGCCTAGTTGGCCTAGTTATTTCACTGCCACTAAAGGGAGAATATACAATGAAGCTTAAAATTTCATTCACAAACAGAAGACACCAAATCGTTGCCTATCATTTAACAACTAACATTTCCATTAGCATAAAGTCTGTGGTGAAAATCTGCCATTTTATGATGGGATACCTGTTTTGCTAATTAACGCTGGCATTGACTTCTGTGGCCTTTTGATATGAATTGTAAAAGGATGCAGGAACAATAACAAAAATAACTTGCATTTATATAGGGCTCTTCATGGAGTAGCAACTACTCTAAGACGATGCAGGAAGATGTGAACAGGCAAACAGGATGTGAGGATATGTGAAAGATAAAATTGAATCTAGAGAAATGTGAAGTAATTCACATACACACACCACACATACACACATACACACTGCTCAATAGTCCCATTAAGAAGCCAGCTAGCTATCATTAAACTTTCAGCTTTGCGATCACAGCATCGAAATGTTAGTGTGATAACAGCTAGCATCCCCCTAACTAGCAATTTAATAATTTGTTTGCTCATCTCAGACCCATGAGCCAAGCATCAGTGATGCCCTGAACTACTGAGGACTTGTCTGTCTCAACTTACAGATGAACAAGTCCGCCACAGGGAGTAGCTCAACTCCACTCTCCCTTTGTCAGGCATACATGCACCAACAGTATACACAGTCACTGCTCTTTATAGTAAATCCTGTGAAGCGTTTTGAGATGACCTCCTGATGTGAAAGGCACTGTATGAAACGTAAGGATTATTATTATCTTGGAGCCCGCTCAACTCACTATCACCTCCCGGTGCAGTTTGCTGCTGTTACCTCTTCAA